GATGCTAGAGTCCTCAGCCAAACTCATAACCGTCAGTAGTTTCATCTTGTGTATATTTGCTTGATGATCTAATGCTAAAAATGTAATAATATAAATTTGATGCTGCCAGTTAATTTTTTAAATTTGAAAACCTAGATCAGCATTTCCCAACCTTTTTTATCACGGCTTACTAATCGTAACCCATATTTAGCTCTAGCATACTTAATATGTACTTATATTTATATTTAATAAATATAATTTTGTTAATATTAGGGCATTAGGATTTCATCATATTAAYACAAAAAGTTGTATATCAGCAAATTACTAGCAAATAATTTAAAATGTTGTGTTTATTTAGGTGAGGAAAACTTATGTAACATCCAAGATATGCGTTGATATGGAAAAAAAGATATTACTACAATACAATTATATTATGTTTATGTTAGATATAARAATCTAGTACTAGTGATTAATTTTGAACTGGTTACCCCTCATAAGTTTCCACCTTAGTCTAATGGWTGACAAACGCCTCATATCCAGAGTGAGAGAATCATTAAAAATATTTTCACTTATAATCAAAATTATAAGTGTATTAATACTTATGAATTATTATATTTTTCGACACAAGAGTTGGGAAATGCTGATTTAGATGTATAATATGTTAGGGATASAAAACTATTTTTAACATTAAATACATTAATTTACAAAATAGTATAAATATACATATTAAATTTGCATAGTATTACATAAGTAATAAGTATATTTATTTGGTTTTGGTATGAAGTTAATATAATCTATGAAGAAATTGGATTATGTAGTATACTATAACTGCCAGCATTCTTAACTAGGTAAAGAAACAATTATTGGTTCCCACAAAAAAGAGAAATTAACTATTTTGCGCATACAAACAACTATTMTAAACTACTACTTTTCCCTACTTTGTACACTCAGTTGAGCATTGCAAAGTGGGATTCGTCAACTTGGACACATAATGACTGCTRCTTTATTTTGAGCTACTTGATTATGTTATATGTTTATTATTGTATGAGACTAATAAAACAATTGTCTGTACAAAATTATCATATGKACCAATTATTTAAATACAGGGTTTTCTCGCAGTATACAAAAAATTGTTATAAACTTTTGTACTCCCTATTTAACAAGAAGTAACATAGATTGTGACCAGCTTTTATCAGGCAACATCCATTTGTGCCCACACAAGCCTGTTGTAATGTAAATCATGCCCATTAGCACAATCTGGTTTTTGAGATTACTTTTAATGTTAGTTAAGTATACACTCAAATGTGTTTAAATTTTAATCAATTTTTTWTAATCGCAATCAAAAATATAAAATAAAATAAAGCATAAGATTGCCCATTTCTAGTGTAAGATAATAATATATATAATAATGTAATACCTAAAGATTTTATTAAATCTTTGTGGCCTTTGTAGAAATCTAAATAGTTGGTAAGATTTCCAGAGACAAATATAACCAAGAGCTCGTGCAAAGGTGAGTTTTGGAGAGATATAACAGGAGTCAAACTCAACAATGGTTCAAATAAGAAAGTCTTAGGATCAGCAATAGCTGAAACAATACACCTCTTTGCATCATCTTTAGCCTGTTTGCCATCATCAGCTGTGTAATTGCGAAGAAGTTCAATCATAACTTCTGCAGCCAATTCACTAAAAAAGTTAGGTATACCATATATATTAATTTAGTTTTAAAATAAATAAAAAACAYGTATGCAAATAGCCAGTAGTAGGGAAGTCTGACCTGTGTCCATTTTCAATCAGTGCACTGTGCAACTGTCTTAGAAGAGACTGCTTTTGTTTTTTGGAATGACTAATGGAAAGAAGTGATTTGTTTAAGCTATCTATTCCTCCATACACCAATAAGAGCTGYTTGTTTCGTTTTGCCACATCTATTATGTCTGAATATAATTGAAAACGAGCAGGTAGTTTTGGGTCAACTGTTCCATGCAATAGCCATAAACTGAATNTAATCGCAATCAAAAATATAAAATAAAATAAAGCATAAGATTGCCCATTTCTAGTGTAAGATAATAATATATATAATAATGTAATACCTAAAGATTTTATTAAATCTTTGTGGCCTTTGTAGAAATCTAAATAGTTGGTAAGATTTCCAGAGACAAATATAACCAAGAGCTCGTGCAAAGGTGAGTTTTGGAGAGATATAACAGGAGTCAAACTCAACAATGGTTCAAATAAGAAAGTCTTAGGATCAGCAATAGCTGAAACAATACACCTCTTTGCATCATCTTTAGCCTGTTTGCCATCATCAGCTGTGTAATTGCGAAGAAGTTCAATCATAACTTCTGCAGCCAATTCACTAAAAAAGTTAGGTATACCATATATATTAATTTAGTTTTAAAATAAATAAAAAACAYGTATGCAAATAGCCAGTAGTAGGGAAGTCTGACCTGTGTCCATTTTCAATCAGTGCACTGTGCAACTGTCTTAGAAGAGACTGCTTTTGTTTTTTGGAATGACTAATGGAAAGAAGTGATTTGTTTAAGCTATCTATTCCTCCATACACCAATAAGAGCTGYTTGTTTCGTTTTGCCACATCTATTATGTCTGAATATAATTGAAAACGAGCAGGTAGTTTTGGGTCAACTGTTCCATGCAATAGCCATAAACTGAATWATAAAATAAAAAGTATGATAATGAAAAAAATCCGTTTAATCACATAACATTATTATGTAATATTTAACTTACGTTTTAAGTATGGTATTACTAAAACGTTCTTCTTCAAACTTAGAAAGTTTCTGACTGAATGCAGTAACAAGGTTACTTTCCACATCCATGGAACCAATTCCAATAATTACTGATACAATAGAACATAAAAAGCTTTCAATATCAGCATCTGATAAGTCTGTTTTTAGACAAGCATCACATTTAGATATGATTTCTTTCATATCTTCTTCAATGTTATCTGTTGCCTTCTCTTGTAAAGTGGCACCAATGCTGCGCAAATATGACCTTAATTCTAAAGCCTGTKAACAAAATATCATATTATATTATGACTTATAAGTATAAATATTTTGATTTTAATTGATTTAAATATAATATGAAGATTCAATAGCAATCAATATTCACCAGAAAAATCATATCTAATAATTTTATATTCTTAATCAAAAAAAATTTAAGGTATAAAATCTCACATTGGTCCCTACCATGGTATTTGCCTATACATTTTGTTTTATATACATAATTTATACTTGCAGACATATTAAAAGTAAGAGCTGAGAAAAGTTCATGGACAGCTTGGCGGCATAAGAAACAATATACAAGTTAAGAAAGTCTCTACATGATGTTAAATTTATGGATCATGGGATGATTACCAAAAGTTTTATTAGTTTGATAAGAAATTGTTCTGCTTCTTCAAGTATAAAACAAACAGTTGTTATTGTATAGTAAACATRTTACTGTATTTTTTTAACAGCTCAGTTAGTTTTAAATATAAATTAATTATAATATTGTAATTGATGATATATATTTCTATTTTATAGGTAGGTAAGTTTTACATCAATGTCAAAAACTATTAGTTTCTTTAATCTATACAAAAATAAAAATTCTTAAATCTGGCTTAAAAATAAGAGGACCAAGATAATGTATACAAATATATTATAAATTGATTGTTGMTATTCATTGATGTAATATATTATAGCAATAAAGTTTAAATTTTCCAAAATTTTTTTAATAAAACATACTCGAGAATGTGAGGCAGCTAATGAAGAACTGGCACACCACAAGAATTATGATAAAAATCATGATAAAATWTTTTTTTATTTTTTTTATTGATCAAAAGACATCGGTGACAACGGCCATTAGTGGTAAACGTTACATTGATTACATTTTTTTTTTTTAAGTATCTTAAATTAAATTGTATAATTTTCATATTTGCTTAAAAAAGTCAAGATTTGGAGAAAATAATTATTGACGAAGAAACCAAGTATATAATAATGATATGTATATAATACATCATACAATATTATGACATAATGACCATGGTGTCTTGTTGGTGTATCAAAATATAGATTACACTCATCTATAAACTTCTTACATTTGTTGGCAGCATTTTTCTGGTTCATCATGTTAATTTTTATTTTTATTGAGAATAAAGGGTTCAACAGCTAAGTCATTAGCCTGCAATTGTTTAACATTATTATTCATGGATAGTTTAGTTGTGATTGATRATTATAAAATGGTTATGGGGTTAGTAGTTGTAACAAAATTGTATACTTTTTTACATTTTGTTAGTTGTACAGTTATATCTTAATATTMAATTCTTGAGTCTATGTCGGGTCCATCATATTATTCTATTCTTTTTAAACCAAATCTAACGTAATCTAAACGAAAATCGACACGAATGTGGTASGTAGGCCATAAATGATAAAATAATTCGTAAATTGTCTATAGGGTAGGCAACATTTGAATATGAACAACCCAAATCCAATTGCAGAAAGTCTGGACCGACGTAAGTGTGTGGAGGGCAGCCTATTCATTTTAGCTACCYATAAAATATTCTCTTTGACACCACTTCGGTGGGTTACAGAATATCGAGTACCTACRCGGAATGTCGATTTCCCTATTTAGTAACTATTTATTTATTATCGTTTCGCTTACCTGTTCTTCGCGGGAGAGTTCGATAAACGTCGGAGGACCTGCCATCGTGTTTAGGACAGTAAGGACTAATTGGGTACACAAAACGTCGGACTACGTCGGCGATGGTGCGATGCGTTGAAGTTGAACTGTTGTGTTTTGATCGCGAAACGAAATCCGTTTCCTAACCTCAATGCTACGGCGCGGCGGTGGTCGAGAGGAGAATATGTTCTGTAGATGGACACTAATTGACAACTTTAAATAATCTGATAATTATAGATTATTTTTATCAAAATGGACTGTGCGTCCCCTCCCCATTCCCATAATCATAAAATTAATATAATATTATTAAAATATTATAATTAATATAAATTAATGTTATTCCTCGTTTTACGTCGTGATATAAATATTTAAATATTGATCTATTGCGTTCGATTCTGAATCAAAATTCGATACGAACTTCGGCACCAATCGACAGGGGAACTAGTGAACTTGCGAAGTTGCATTTTGTTTCAGTCATTYAGCCTTTTCTTGTACAAGTCTGCTCTATTCGCGGCATTACCGCATACCACGTAACCGCGTTCCCAACTTCATCCGTACATTTTCTTGCRTTGTAAAGACCAAAGTTGAATACTTGAAAATTATATTATTATCTGAATGACTGAATGGGTAAATAAAATAAAATAAAAATAAAAAAGCAAAAAACTACATTGTAATTTCGATGGAACAATATCCGATGACCGATATCGCCGCTGATCACCGTTGGTAGTGCAGCACTAAAATATCGTCTTCACGTCTTTCCATCAATCGTCATCATCATATACATCGTCATCATAGTATCTGTGCGCGGTCGAGCACAGTTTTTCTGAGTCTGCTTGGAAACGAAATCGAACGACAATCATAAAACATAATATATCCGATTCCGATGATATGCGCCATGAGATGGAAGAATAGAYGCACAATTAGTCGTTTTTGTTGAACCGTAAATTAAAGARATGTAAGTAGGTCATTTTTAGACTGGTTCTCGAACAGATTTTATCCCACTGCTAATCCCTTTGGTGAAGTAGTGGGAAAGTCGAAAATAAATTAATCCCAAAGCGTTGTTCAACTACTCGATGGCACGTCTAATTCAGCGACTGTCATCAGGTATCACCACCATATACACATTATGTAGYATGAGTGACATTGTTGGTTGTCTTCTACCTGATTCTGATGTGATGCAACTACATAGCCTTAAACATATTTTAATTGTTTTACAGTTGATCAGAAATTAACTATGGGTCAGACATTATCAGAACCGGTGACTACAAAGCACACAGAAAGCTGTCAGAACCAGTATCTAAAAGTTGGCTCCAGCTCTATGCAAGGATGGAGAATCAACATGGAAGACTCCCACACTCATATACTAGCACTTCCTGATGATCCTAGTGCGGCATTTTTTGGAGTATATGATGGTCATGGCGGTAATAATTATTTTAAGATAATAGCAACTACAAAATTCTCAGTCATATTATGTCAAAAAAACAACTTTTGCACCAGTTTTTGATTCAAATTACACCGATGCACATTTTAACAAATCTAGAAAAAGGTCAATAATTAATATATTTAGTGGGTTACATATATTATCATAGTTAATAATAATAACTTATAAAATTAGAAAAACAATCGTATTTTAAATGTATATTGTAAAAATAAATACCCAATTTACTTATGGAATATGGTATATTAATATATATATATATATATATTATAATATATAATATATCAATGACTTATAAATTTATAACAAATCTCATAATATACACTAGTTTGTCTGCTTGTAGTTTTATATTTATATTTTGTGAATATCTTCCACAATACTTGTTTGTCATAGTTTTTTTTACGCTACTTTAATATCTTATGYCAATTTTGTTTCATCCACAGATATTTCTATTTTAATTTTCTTGATTACTTTTCAATAATTRGATGCTTATGTCCACCTGGCTTTATAAAAAAAWTATCCTACTCTCCAGTCATTATTTACTTTGTAGCTCCCCACTAATTCTTTAAATTGGTTGTATAAAATTCCATAAGGAATGTGATAATATAGGTTTTCCTCCTATGCCAGTGTCTTTTTAACAAAGTATTGTTTTTAAGTTTCTTATTAAGTGTACATGTTTTTTTGTTGGATCTCTACTACCTAATATTTATTTTATTTTTTATTAGTTTTACAGATGGCTAATTAAGTTAAATTTGTATAAATTAAATAATACGAAAGGTATCATAGTTTTGTTTAATCGTTGTTTTGATTATTATTTATTTCATTATGAGTTATGTTGTTGAAATTTTGAAATTAAGTTTTATTGCATAAAATAAGTAATGTTTTACAATTTAAAATACTTCTACCTTAATAGTTTTTTTTTATGCAGTTTTACTTTTATTAAAATTATCTATACTCTAACAGCTTAAGACTATATTTATTTTCCTTCTAAAATAAGTTTCTCCTAAAGTCAATTTTTTTATGAGGACATAATTTTATTTTATATAACTGTTAATTTATGTTATGATCAATAAATGAGTACTTTAAAGTTAACTATTTAATTAATTATTAATATATTATTATTATTATTAATTGTTTAATTAACTATTCTGTTCTTATTGCTATATTTAATATTTTAATTTAGGTGCAAGAATAGCACAATATGCTGGGAAGCATTTACATAAATTTATTACCAAGAGGCCAGAGTATGAAGAAAATAAAATTATTGATGCCTTACAACTGGTAATACTATGCTTTAAATTTTCTAAAATGTGTTTATAGTATCATTTATTTTATTTTTAGGGTTTCATGGACATGGACACTGCTATGGCTGAAGATGAAGTTTTAAAAGATGAGCTGGCTGGATCAACTGCTGTAGTTGTTTTATTAAAAGACAAAAAAATGTATTGTGTAAGGAAAAATATACATATRTTTATTTTATCTGATTTCTATTTTTCTCATTTATTTATCTTTTTAAATCTAGGCAAATGTTGGAGATTCGAGAGCTATTGCATCTGTAAGTGGTGTAGTTGAACCACTTTCATATGACCACAAGCCAAACAATGAGTTAGAAACTAAAAGAATTGAAGCAGCTGGTGGTTGGGTCATGTTTAACAGGGTGAATGGCAACTTAGCTCTATCTAGAGCTTTAGGAGATTATATTTTCAAAAAAAATGACCAAAAAAAATTAGATGAACAAATTGTTATTGGTAAGTCTGATTCAAATGATCTAACAGAAGATAATGTAATACATGCATAATCCCTATAGTGCCTCTAACCTTTTAAAAACTCAAGATAATGCCTACTATGCTAAAGCTAGCAAAAAGGAATAATATGTAACTAAAACAAGTTATTTTATCATGAAAAAGAGTGAATTATCAGGCCCCTCCCTAAAGTCTTCTTTTAGTAAATAACCTTTATACAAATACATTCATGTGAAATAAATCTACTAATTTTGGGTTCAGTCTTCAAAAATACCATAGCGACAATTGATGCTCACTGTGCTTTCATCCAATGTAGTACCCAGCAGTATGAATTGATTATTTTTATCCATTGTTTTATGTTGAATAGTTAATCAAAATAAAATTAATATGTTCAAAAATTCGAAATGCAATTAAATATAACTATTGAATTTCATGTTATAACATGTCAGTTTGTCTACATTTTATTTTATAAACTAATTTACTTGGGTTTAAATACAAATTGTTTCTAATCTATTTTTATCATTTTTTTTATATCTAGAATTTATTCTTAAATTGTRTACCTATGTACAAACAATAATTACCGAACTATTTAGAGCTGTAAACTTAAGTACACATGAAAATTTTTTTCATTGATATTTTCAATACTGACATTTTTCAATTTTTTTTTTTTTTTTCACGAGTTCGCTACATGAATACAAGTAGGTCAAAGTCACGTTTTGAAATTCAGAATATTTGTAAAAATAAAAATATGCATTTATAACATAACGTATTTAGTAATTRTAACAAGAATTGGGATAATTATCGTTATAACAAAAGTGATAATATGCTTACTAAATGTTGTAACCAAACAGTTGCCGAGTTTATAAGATCAATAAAAAAAATATATACYTACTAAGTACATTATTGTGATACTATATTGTTGGTAAGTATTTTTGTATAGATTTTTTTTTACAGATGTCTTTCAACTTTAAAAAATAAATATATAAAAATGTTCAAGTACAGAATCATATAATTAAAAAGATAAGATGGGGGTCCCCACTTAAAAGAGAACAGAAAATCAGAGAACTATAGTCTTCATCTCTTCCAACCCCTCATCAACTACACAATACCACCACAAAACAAACTTATTATATATAAGTCAATCATACGACCAGTCAGGTCTTATGCAATAGCAATCTGGGGAAGCAATCCGGCAAAGCCCTAGAACACTGGCTAATCTAGACTTTTCAATCAATTTCTCTATGGTTACTAACCAATGCCCCCTGGTATGTTTCTAATTTTTCATTACACAATGCCTTAAAAATTACAACTACCTCTAAACTAACCAAAACAATGTACTAATGTTTCCACCAGAATTTAAGCACGCATAACAATACTCTAATATCACATATGTCCACAATCACGTTTCCAAAAAACCCACCGCGCAGACTAATGCGTAAATAGTGCAGAGATCTATTAAATTAGTAAAGGAGGTGTTACCAATGGGTTTCTTTCTCAAAATATTATTATTGTTATTCATGTTATTTTATTTTATTTAAATACCAAATTTGCTTATTATAAAAATTATATACAGATTTTAAATTGTTTTTCCTAATAAAAATAAAACCATAAAAAACATTTCATACATTTTTAATAATTTCTAATTTCATTTAAATAAAAAAAATAAAAAATGTTAAGTACTAAAAGTTACTTCCTTATYAATGATGAAGATATTAAATGTAAATATTTTGTAAGCGCAACTAACATCAGGTTAATAATTTATTTGAGTTGATAGATGGAAAAAATAACCATTACACAATAACGAAATATAAAAATTTGGTTTTGAATTTTATAACATATGTTACTTTACAGAGTAACCTAGGATACTTGCTATAGGTTACTTTACAAATATAATTTAAAAGCCTTAAAATTTACCATTATAATAATTAAATTTATTAAAAAAATATTGAATAATAAATACTTTAATTTAATTAAAGTCAATAATATTTATTAATAAGAGTAGTGTGGAAATGTAAATGAATYATTTTGTACTTTAAATAATAATTAGAAGAAGATTCATTAGTAATTTGTATAACGTAAACATTTTTTTTTGAAATGAATTCATGATACATTTAATGTAATGCAATTTCTAGCCTGGCCCGACATTGAAGTAAAACCAGTTACAAAGGACTTAGAATTCATTGTCTTAGCATGTGATGGCATTTGGGACGTAATGACTAATGAAGTAAGACATATTTTAATGAAATTAAAATAATAAATAATAATATACATATAATGATCATTAAATAACATATAATATTTTTATGTTATTTTGATTTGAATCTAATTCAAATATTTCTTCATCTACTTATGACAAATTTAAATAAAAATTAGCTATTATACTATACAATAATATGAAATATACTATGTTCATATGTTATTGGTTTTTTTTTTTCTAGGAAGTTGTTGAGTTTGTGCGTTTCCGTGTCAGCAATGGCATGGAGCCTGAAGATATATGTGAAGATTTAATGACAAGGTGTCTAGCACCTAATGGTCAAATGGGAGGTCTTGGATGTGACAATATGACAGTTGTGATAGTTTGTTTCTTAGGAGAAGGGCGTACTTGGAAAGAATTACAAGTTCAATGTTCTAAACCTTCAGCTGCAGAATCAAACAACCCAAATAGCTCCCCATCATCAAGTCCCCAATCCAAGCACTAGTATTTTCTTGAGCATTGTTTTATTTATATTTTATTTTACTTTGGTTCTCACACATCATTTGTTTTCTGGCAATAAATTAATATTAATAATAATAATAATAATAATAATAATAATAATAATAATAATTGTGTACATAATAGCACTGGGATAATATTTTAAATTTTTTTGTGTCATAATATTATATTTTACTTAAAATTATTTTCCTTTTTATAATTGTCTCTTGTAGATAAAAAATAATATAATTGCCCTTTATAAATCCCAAGTCATTTTTGTATTTATATAAGTTTTTTTTATATATATATAATATGCTATGATATACTAATGTCTAATACATAATTGAAACACTAATGATGTAAATAACATTTTCATGTAACACACTAGTCCATCCAGTACTTTAGAGGATGATGTTAATATTTAGAGGATGAGTAAAAAATGAAACAAAATTATACATAAATATTTTAATACGAAACATAGTGCGTAAAATGTTATGTAATTTTAAACAAAATATTTGTACAATCAGACGTTTAGTTTTTAGCACCCAAAGGACTGGCCGTATTATAATTTTTGTGAATGAATATTAATAAAAATAATAGTACAACKTGTATTTGTTAAAATGATTGAGTAATATCAATTAATATTATATTTTTTAATAGTTTTAAGAGTTATATAACTTWAAAAAAAAAAATGTCATTATAGTTAACTACTAGTATTTGAAATAAAAATATGGTTTCCTAAATTGATAGCATTAACAATGTTTCATATCCATATTTCACGTACACATCAACAAATTTAAAATATGAATAATTAAAATAAATAATAAAAAGCGGGAAAGTGGATATCRCTGTGCTATACAGTAGGTTACAAGTGGGTTACTGTAATGGATGGAATTAAATTTGAATCCAATGATATTCTATCATTGTACACGAAAAACATTTCTGAGCAGAGACGGTTTATCTGTCTGGCCTGTCTGGGATATTATTATAGATATAAATACTTATTAAAATATTTGACTTTCCGGTGGACATTTTTTTTTGATAAAAGTAAACAAACTTATAAGGAATCTTGAATTAAATGTTCAAATCTTAGATTTAATAATAAAAAAATTTAAGCATTTCTATCTAAGATAAGTTGAACATTGCTATAATTCTTACGAATTTAGAAAAAATTTAACTTTAAATGCTTGTAAAAAAAAATTGTGCTAATGTATTTTTAATATTTTTCAACTGCTATTGAAGTAATATGTTGGAAGCCTTATGTTAAATTTTGAAGCTTTTTGACCCAACCAATACAATTTTATTGACATTAATAGAAAAATAACTAAACAAGTTGAAAAATTAAAATGTCAGTATAGAGCTCATAACAATTTGAAAAACTTATCAAATATAGAAAATGTGAAAATTTCAAGTATCTGCGGTCATTTGTTTTAGAGTTACACCAAAATAAGAAAATCACTAAATGAGAAATTAGTGAAAATCCAATGTTGTAAAAATTTGAATTTTTGGTGGATTATTTTTATGATAAAGATT